TCACTGTAGTTTTGATTTGTATTTCCCTGATAACAAATGATGTTGGGCATCTTTTCATTTTTCACTGGCTATCTTCTCTGGAGAAATGTCTATTCGAATCCTTTGACCATTTTTAAATTGGGTTATTTTTATGTTGAGTTACAGGAGTTTTTTTTTTTTTTTTTTTGAGACGGAGTGTTGCTCTGTCACCAGGCTGGAGTGTGCAGTGATCTCAGTTCACTGCAACCTCTGCCTCCCAGGTTCAATTTTCCTGCCTGTCTCCTGAGTAGCTAGGACTACAGACATACACCACCACGCCCAGCTAATTTTTATATTTTTAGTAGAGACAGGGTTTGACCAAGTTGGCCAGGATGGTCTCAATCTCTTACCTTGTGATCTGCCCGCCTCGGCCTCCCAAAGTGCTAAGATTATAGGCATAAGCCACTGTGCCCAAGATAGAATCTTACTCTATCACCCAGGCTAGAGTGCAGTGGTGTGATCTCAGCTCACTACAATCTCTGCATCCCATAGTGATTTTCCTGCCTCAGCTTCCCAGGCAGCTGGGATTACAGACAGATGTTACTATGCCCAACTAATTTTTATATTTTTAGTGGAGTCGGGGTTTCACCATGTTGGCCAGGCTGGTCTTGAACTCCTGGCCTCCCAAAGTGCTAGGATTACAGGCATGCGCTACTGCAATCGGCTGTGGTAGTTTTATTTAACTCTCCAAAGGAAACAATTTTTGAGCCTGAGAAAGAAATGTAATAGTGCTAACTATGGCAGAAGCAAAGCAAAGACAAATTACTTTAGCATGCTAAGGAAAACTTCAAAAATGAAATCAAATCCCGACTCCAACCACTTTTAATTTAAGATTTTCAGGCTGGTGTGGTGGTTCACGCCTGTAATCCAAGCACTTTGGAGGCCAAGGTGGGCGGATCACCTGAGGTTGGGAGTTCAAGACCAGACTGACCAACATGGTGAAACCCTGTTTTTTTTTTTTTTTTAAAAAAAAAAAAAGATTTTCAGCCATTTTTAATTTAACTTTCAGGAGTTTACCTAAAACAAAAGCATTTTTCCAACTTAACGGAAAGAGTACACTGATGTATGTGGACCATATGATAAGTGGAATGACAAATTAGAATAAAAAAACCTGAGAATGAGTCCACTTGGAGAATCTCCATGAGCTTCTTATGGGACTCTTTTCTAAAACAGTTTAAAATTTCTACTCTACTCTACTCACCTAAATAAGTTGTTATAAGGCTTACATGAGACAATGTATATAAGAGCACTTACTAAATCATTTTGTATGGTTTAAGTATTTAGCCTGCCCTGCTTGGCACCAAATACTAGTTACTCGTGTTAGGTAAGTTAGAATATAAAAATGTGAATGAGATTTTTCATGACATGTACTTAGACTCATAACTTATGAAAGTTATTTGTAAAGTAATTCTTGTAAAAGGGCCTTGTGCTTTGATTCTTCAGGATTTAGCAGACCAGACACACTCTTTTTTTCTTTTTTTATTTTGAGATGGGAGTCTTGCTCCCGTTCCCCAGGCTGGAGTGCAGTGGCATAATCTCGGCTCACTGAAGCCTCAACTTTCTGGACTCAAGTGATTCTCGCACCTCAAACTCCCAAGTAGCTGGGCTACAGGTATGCATCACCATGTCATACTAATTTTTGTATCTGTCTGTAGAGATAGGGTTTCACCATGTTGCTCAGGCTGGTCTCATACTCCTGGGCTCCACTGATCTGCCTGCCTCAACCTCCCAAAGCACTGAGATTACAGGCCTAGCCCAGACACAACATTATTAAGAAAAATCAGGAAAAAATACAGCAGGGTGTGGTGGCAAACACCTGTAATCCCAGCACTTTGGAAGGCCGAAGTGGGTGGATCACAAGATCAGGAGATCGAGACCATCCTGGCTAACATGGTGAAACACCATCTCTACTAAAAATACAAAAAATTAGCTGAGTGTTGCAGCACACACCTGTAGTGCCAGCTACTCAGGAGACTGAGGCAGAAGAACTGCTTGAATCCAGGAGGCAGAGGTAGTGAGCTAAGATTATGCCACTACACTTCACCCTGGGTGACAGAGCGAGACTCCATCTCAAACGGAAGGAAGGAAGGAAGGAAGGAAGGAAGGAGGGAAGGAGGGAAGGAGGGAAGGAGGGAAGGAGGGAAGGAGGGAAGGAGGGAAGGAGGGAGGGAGGGAGGGAGGGAGGGAAGGGAGGGAAGGGAGGAAGGAAGGAAGGAAGGAAGGAAGGAAGGAAGGAAGGAAGGAAGGAAGGAAGGAAGGAAGGGAGAAAAATCAGGAAAGGTAATTTGAGGCTGGGCATGGTAGCTCATGCCTATAATCCCAGAACTCTGGGAGGCTGAGGCAGACGGACCACCTGAGGTCAGGAGTTCAAGACCAGCCTGGCCAAGATGGTGAAACCCTATCGCTATTAAAACTACGAAAATTAGCCAGGCATGATGGCAGGTGCCGGTAATCCCAGCTAGTCGGAAGGAGAGGCACGAGAATTGCTTAAAGACTGGAGGCAGAGGTTGCAGTGAGCCGAGATCCCACCACTGCACTCCAGTCTGGCTGACAGAGTGAGACTCTGTCTCAGAAAACAAAACAAACGATTTTAAACATAAGCTAATTTAACCATGTAGTCATCTTGGTCTTAATCGACATACTTTTCTTTTTCTTTTTTTTGAGACGGAGTTTCGCTCTTGTTACCCAGGCTGGAGTGCAATGGTGCGATCTTGGCTCACCACAACCTCCGCCTCCTGGGTTCAAGCAATTCTCCTGCCTCAGCCTCCCGCGTAGCTGGGACTACAGGCACGCGCCACCAAGCCCAGCTAATTTTTGTATTTTTAGTAGAGACGGGGTTTCACCATGTTGACCAGGATGGTCTCGATCTCTTGACCTCGTGATCCACCCGCCTCGGCCTCCCGAAGTGCTGGGATTACAGGCTTGAGCCACCGCACCCAGCAATCTACACACTTTTCTTACACAAATGTTTATAAGTATGCCTACTTAAAAATATTATTTGTTAAATGTTACAAAATTTTTTGTTTTTGTTTTTTTAAATTATTATTTATTTATTTATTTTTTAAAGACGGGGTTTCATCATATTAGTTAGGCTGGTCTTGAACTCCCGACCTCAGGTGATCCGCCCACCTTGGCCTCCAAACTGCTTAGATTACAGGTGTGAGCCACCATGCCCGGTCTGTTTTTTATTTTTTTTTGAGACAAAGTCTTACTCTGTCACCCAGGCTGTAGTGAGTGGCTTGATCTTGGCTCACTGCAACCTCAACCTCCTGGGTTCAAGCAATTCTCTGCCTCAGCCTCCCAAGTAGCTGGGATTACAGGTGCCTGCTACCATGCCCGGCTAACTTTTTTTGTATTTTTAGTTGAGAAGTGGTTTCACCATCTTGGTCAGGCTGGTCTTGAACTCCTGACCTCATCATCCACCCGCCTTGGCCTCCCAAAGTGCTGGGATTACAGATGTCAGCCACTTCACCCCGCCCTGTTTTTGTTTTGAGACAGTGTTTTGCTCTGTCACCCAGGCTGGAGTGCAGTGGCACGATTCTAGCTCACTGCATCTTCTGCTTCCCAGAATCAAGTGATCCTCTCACCTCAGTCTTCCAAGTAGCTGGAACTACCAGCATGTGCCATCACGCACAGCTAATTTTTGTGTGTTTTTTGTAGAGTCAGGGTTTCACCATGTTGGCCAAGCTGGTCTTGAACTCCTGGTCTCAACCGTTCCACCTGCCTTGGCCTCCCAAAGGGCTGGGATTGCAGGCATGAGCCATCACACCCAACCAAATGTTACAGGTATTTTGTGAATAGTTTTACATTACATAGCACAGTCTCATTCAAATATACCCTCTTTAAAAAAAAGTTAAAAGGGCCAGGCGCAGTGGCTCATGCCTGTAATCCCAGCACTTTGGGAGGTTGAGGAGGGCAGATCAGGAGATCAGGAGTTCGTTCGAGACCAGCCTGGCCAATATGGTAAAACCCGTCTCTACTAAAAATACAAAAAAAAAAAAAATTAGCCAGGCATGGTGCACATGCAGGTAATACCAGTTACTCAGAAGGCTGAGGCAGGCAAATAACTTGAACCCAGGAGGTGGAGGCTGCAGTGAGCTGAGATTGATCCACTGCACTCCAGCCTGGGCAACAAGAGCGAAACTCCGTCTCAAAAAAAAAAAAGTTAAAAGACACTATATGGGAAAAAACTACTTTGAAACAAAGTAGAACATAGAGAAAATTATCATCCAATGTATGCATTAAGATCCTCTCATAAATTATTTTAGACACAATTAAGCAGATAAATTGAACATTAAAAATAAACACCTGCTTTTGGCTGGGTGCAGTGGTTCATGCCTGTAATCCCTGCACTTTGGGAGGCCAAGATGGGCAGATCGCTTGAGGCCAGGAGTTTGAGACCAGCCTGGCCAACATGGCGAAACCCCAACCCTACTAAAAATACAAAAATTAGTCAGGCGTGGTGGCATGCACCTGTAATCCCAGCTACTCAAGAGGCTGAGGCACGAGAATCACTTGAACCCAGGAGGCAGAGGCTGCAGTGAGCCGAGATCATGCCACTGCACTACAGCCTGGGTGACAGAGCAAGACTCTGTCTCAAAAATTAATAAAAAATAAAAACCTGATTTCGCAAGTATAAGCCAGTAAAAGTCAGACGCAGACACACATACCATCAACCTTAATATTATCTTACTCAAGAATAATAGCTAGTTGTAGGTAAAAGCTCAAATATTTCACTCTAGGAAAATACCCAGAAAGGATGAAGGTCAGGTAGGAGGGGACCAGAACAACTATACAGCCAATAACTGGCAGAAGATTCAAAATATAATGAACAACACAGATGAAAATGAGATGAATATAGAGTTGCTCCCTTCATGGGCGACTAAAGGTTAAACACTGCCTCTTCCCTATAGCATAACTGTTTCTTCACACAAAATAACCACTGCTATGCTATTACTCCATTATTCCTTTTAAATACTTACTATCATCTCCAACAGGACCTGCTGAACACTGTGCTGGAGGGTCACGAGCCAGGTCATTCAATTCCTTCAGAAAAAAGAAAGAAAACATATATATTCAACATAAATGTACCTTTTATCCATTATTAAAATTTATATTGTTGCCAATATTCTCTGTCTTGCTGGTGAAACTCTTTTAAGAGCATTCCTTCAGAGTCAGAGATCAGTAGACTAGTGAATCTTTAAGGTATTTTGGATTCTTAAATGTGATGTTTATTTTTTTAAAGCGGATCATTTTTGCTTTGTTCGGAGCTTAGCAAATTAAATAAGGAAGGTAAAACATGTATTATGGGCCAGGCACAGTGACTAACACCTGTAATCCCAGCACTTTGGGAGGTTGAGGCAGGCAGATAACTTGAGGTCAGGAGTTAGAGACCCACCTGGCAACAAGCCTGTCTCTATTAAAAAAGACAAAAATTGCCGGGCACTGTGGCTCACGCCTGTAATCCTAGCACTTTGGGAGGCCAAGGTGAGTGGATCACCTGAGGTCAGGAGTTCAAGACCAGCCTGGCCATCATGGTAAAACCCCATTTTTAAAAAAAAATTTATTTTCTTTTTAAAATAAAATAAGTGAATAAATAAATAAAAAAGACAAAAATTAGCTGGGCATGCCTGTAGTCCCAGCTACTCAGGAGGCTGAGGCAGGAGAATTGCTTGAACCCAGAAGGCAGAGGTTGCAGTGAGCCAAGATGCTGCCAGTGCACTCCAGCCTGGGAGACAAGAGTAAGACCCTGTCTTAAAAAAAAAAAAAAAGGCCGGGCGCAGTGGCTCACACCTATAATCCCAGCACGTTGGGAGGCCGAGACAGGTGAATCACGAGGTCAAGAGATCGAGACCATCCTGGTCAACCAGGTGAAACACCGTCTCTACTAAAAATACAAAAATTAGCTAGGCATGGTGGTGCATGCCTGTAGTCCCAGCTACTCAGGAGGCTGAGGCAGGAGAACTGCTTGAACCCAGAAGGCGGAGGTTGCGGTGAGCCGAGATCATGCCATTGCACCCCAGTCTGGGTAACAACAGCGAAACTCTGTCTCAAAAAAAAAAAATTAGCTGGGTGTGGCGGCACACACCTGTAATCCCAGCTACTTGGGAGGCTGAGGCAGAAGAATCACTTGAACCTGGGAAAGAGAGGCTGCAGTGAGCCAAGATGATGCCACTGCACTCTAGCCTGAGCAACAAAGCGGGATACCATCTCAAAAAAAAAAAAAAATCTAGTAGTCAGAGACTGGTTTACCTGTAATAATGCTTTATAACCAGTTATCAGCTTCTCAGTTTTTTAAACACAAAAGCCCAGAAACTTGAGACTTGTTATTGGGTGGGGATGTCTGAAAAATCAGAAGGCAGGAAATCATACTATATTCCATTTCCCCTCAGCTTGGTTTTTGAGACAAAAGCAAGTTCTCAAGAACTAGTTTTCGATTATATTTTAAAACCGCAACAGTAAAAAAAGTCTAAGATTTTTTAAGTGCAAAAACCATTCAGACTCTTAAGTGCTATAAAGGTGTAATTTCATATTACAAATATTATTTTTTAATTTGCAGCACAAATATTTACTCTAAGTCCCCATCTCAGAGTTAAGGTTTCAACTAGGCATTTTATTATACCAACTACGTTGTTTCATCCTGTCTATATGCTTGGAGTACAAAACTAAGGTTTGAAAAAAAGAAGGCTCTGGATTGAGAAAATGTTAACTTACTAAAATATCTCAATTTTTGAATTCTGTGTCTCCAAAATAAGAGATATCCTGCCCATCTCAAGGAAAAAAAATAGCCTACTGTATAGTTCCCATTCTCAAATATTACTGACAGCACAGGTGGGTATAACTAAGAACAAACACCTGGCTTTAAGACACTGCTATAGCAACAGGTTATTAAAATATAATTTGAATGTAACAATTTAACCATTGAATGGAACAATTCTGAAGTCCTGCCATGTACATTAAGTGGAATTTTACTTTTGATTTAGCCTTAATCTTTTGCTCCTTTCAAACTGAGTTACTTTTTTCCATGCTGCATTACATCAAGGTTTTTAACTCAAGAGTTATCTAAGCAGAATACAAGATCCATCAGTCCATTTCATGAACAAGTGTAACTAATTTTAAAACCCTAAGCCAAACTTAATAGACATTTAACACACTAATTCAACACTTCATTGGCTGAAGGCATTGATACAGCTGAATCTCAAAAGCATACTGCTAAGTGAAAGAGGCCAGACATAAGGCTACATGATGTATGATTCCATTTATATGACGTTCTAGAACAGGCAAAACTAGTGACAGAAAGCAGATCCATGGTTCCAGTGGCTAGAGAGAGTTGGAAGAGGGAATGATTATAAACAGACATGAAGAAAATCTGAGGAGTGACAGAAATGTTTAAAATCATTATTTTGGTAGAGGTTGTACAACTATATTTGTCAAAACTCAAATTGTACACTTAATTTGACTGTATGTATCTCAAAGTTGTTTATTATTATCTTTTTAATGTAGAGACAGGGTCTCACTATGTTGCCCAGGCTGGTCTCTTAACTCCTGGACTCAAGCGATCCTTCTGCCTCACCCTCCCAAAGTGCTGGAATTACAGGTGTGAGCCACAGTGCCTGGCCAATTTTTTATTCTTAAACGTACATTTGGGCTGGGCGTGGTGGCTCATGCCTGTAATTCCATCACTTTGGGAGACCAAGGCGGGCAGATCACAAGGTCAGGAGTTCGAGACCGTCCTGACCAACATGGTGAAACCCCCATCTCTACGAAAAATACAAAAATAAGCCAGGCATGGTGGTACATCTGTAATCCCAGCTACTCGGGTGGCTGAGGCAGGAGAATCACTTAAACCTGGGAGGCGGAAGTTGCAGTGAGCTGAGATCGTGCCACTGCACTCCAGCCTAAGTGACAGAGCAAAACTCTGTCACAAAAAACAAAAGCACATAACTATCCATCTTTACATGTGCATTAAATATCTCTAAAGCATATACATGAAACTAGTTAATAAATTGCCTTTGGGAAGGAAAGCTTAGGGGATAAGAATGGGAATTATATATATTCCTTTTACACCTTTTGAATTTTATCCAAGTGTATATACTGCCTATCTGAAAAACAAATTACGCTTAAAATTTTTTTTTTCTTTTTTTAACCAAGTGAGTCTGTGCAAGAATTACTCCATCAATTTGGATTAAAATAGCTGTTAAAAATTGTTATCATGGGCTGGGCATGGTGGCTCATGCCTGTAATCCCAGCACTTTGGGAGGCTAAGGTGGGCAGATCATGAGGTCAGGAGATCAAGACCATCCTGGCTAATATGGTGAAACCCTGTCTCTACTAAAAATACAAAAAAATAGCTAGTAATGCTGGCATGCGCCTGTAGTCTCAGCTACTTGGGAAGATGAGGAAGGAGAATTGCTTGAACCCAGGTGGTTGCAGTGAGCTGAGAATCATGCCACAGCACTCTAGCCTGGGCAACAGAGACAGAGTGAGTCTCCATCTCAAAAAAAAAAACTGTCATCATGACTGGAAGCGGTGGCTCACACCTATAATCCCAGCACTCTGGGAGACTGAGCCAGGCTGATTACCTGAGGTCAGGAATTCAAGACCAGCCTGGAACGCGATGAAAACCCATCTCTTCTAAGAGTCCAAAAATTAGCCAGGCATGATGGCAGGCGCCTGTAATCCCAGCTACTTGGGAGGCGGAGGCAGGAGAATTGCTTGAACCCAGGAGGTTGTAGCAAGCTGAGATCACACTACTGCACTCTAGCCTGGGCGACTAGAGTGAGACTCCCACAAAAAAAAATTGTCATCATTTGAGGGGTAACCTACATAGTGAAAACCCAATTAGAGCAAATTAACATACAATCTATAAAACTGATATCTCTACATTATGATCAAAACTGAAGTTGAATCTTAAAATTTTTTTTAACTGTGTAAAGTGCTTAAGTTATTCTAACCACATGTTCTTTTTTTTTTTAAGAGAAGGAAAGAAAAAAAAGGAGTGAAGGAGAGGAAGAAAAAGAGAGAGAACAGAAATGTTGCTTTTTTCTAAAAAATGGGTATTAATAATGGCCAATCAATATTTCATTTAAACCTATGAGTAGATGTGATGTGGTATTGACAAGAATGTATATTTGGAATATTTAAAGTGGAGAGCTCTATAAATATTTATTAAGTTTACTTGTTCTGGATCTGAGTTCAAGTCCCGGATATCCTTATTAATTTTCTGTCTGATTGAGTCTAAGTCTCTATGTATTTGGGTGTTAGGATCATTAGCTCTTATTGTTCCATTAATCCTTTTACCACTATATCTTTGTTGCTTTAAAATCTATTTTATCAGATGCGAGAATTGCAACTCCTGCTTTTTATTTATTTATTTATTTTTGCTCTCCATTTGGTTGGTAAATCTTTCTCCTTCCCTTTGTTTTGAGTCTTTGTGTATCCTTACATGTGAAATGGGTCTGGATGCAGCATACTGTTGGGTTTTGGCTATATCTTTTGATTGGGGGATTTAGTCAATTTAAATTTAGGATTACTGCCATTTGATGTTAACTGGCTGTTTTATCATTTGTTGATGTAAATTCTTCTTTATGTTGATGCTCTTTACTTTTTGGTATATTTTTAGAAAGGCTAACACTGGTTATTTCTTTCTATGTGTAATGCCTCTTTCAGAAGCTCTTGTAAAGCAGGCATGGTGGTAATAAAATCTCTGAGTACTTGCTTGTTCATAAAAGATTTTATTTTTCCTTCAGTTGTGAAGCTTAGTTTGGCTGGATATGAAATTCTGGGCTGAAAGTTCTGTTCTTTAAGGATGTTGAATATCGGCCCCCACTCTCTTCTGGCTTGCAGAGTTTCTGCTGAGAGAACTGCTGTAAGTCTGATAGGCTTCCCTTTGTGGGTAACCTGACCTTTCTCTCTGGCTGCCCTTAGTATTTTCTCCTTGGTTTCAACCCTGGTGAATCTAACGATTATGTGCCTTGGGGTTGCTCTTCTTGAGGAATATCTTTGTGGTGTTCTCTGTATTACCTGGGGTTGAATATTGTCCTGCCTTGCTAGGTTGGGAAAATTTTCCTGAATAATATCCTGAAGGGTATTTTCCAGCTTGGATTCATTCTCTCTGTCGCATTCAGGTACACCTATCAAACGTAAATTAGGTCTTTTCACATAGTCCCACATTTCTTGGAGACTTTGCTCATTCCTTTTTATCCTTTTTTCTCTAATCTTTTCTTCACGTTTTATTTCATTAAGTTGGTCTTCGACCTCTGATATCCTTGCTTCTGCTTGATCAATTCGAGTGTTTAAACCTGTGCATGCTTCTAGGAGTTCCCATATTGTATTCTTCAGTTCCATTAATTCACTTATATTCCTCTCTAAATTGTCTATTCTTATTAGGATTTCACCAAACCTTTTTTCAAAGTTCTTAGTTTCTTTACATTGGGCTACAACATGTTCTTTTAACTCACAGAAGTTTCTTATTATCCATCTTCTGAAGCCTGATTCTGTTAATGGGATGCGCTCGTTCTCCATTAAGCCTTGTTCCCTTGTTGATGAGGAACTGTGATCCTCTTTAGAGGGAGAGGCATTCTGATTCTGAGTATTCTCAGCCTTTTTACACTGGTTTCTTCCCATCATTGTAAATTTATCCACCTGTCGTCTTTGTAATTACCAACTTTCAAATTAGGTCTCTGAGTGGACGTCCAAGTTGTTAATTCCCAGGGCCGAAATATGAGCAACCCACTGCGCCTGCCAAAACAGCGGCGTTAAGACTGATGGTGCTTTTCTGCCTGGGAATCTCCAGCCTGGCTTCCTTCTTGAGTCTGTAATAGGTGACTCTGCCTTCCCGGAGCTCCAAACGTCGGTCAGAAGGGGAACCAGTCCCGTTTACTCTGCACCAAGAGCTGCTGCACCGAGGTGCCGGCAAAACTGCTGTGCCGGCCACAAGAGTCACGCTGGCGACCTGTGGGGCTCCTCCACTGGGAATCTTCTGCTCCATGAGCAACAAAAATTTGAAAGTGTGGCGTCCTCTTGTTCTCTGTGCTTTCACTGGGAGCTGCAATCCCGACATGTTAGCGATCAGCCATTTTGGATCATTCTTTTTTGTTGTTGTTGTGTAGTCTCGTTTATTACGAAGATTGTTCCAGTATGTACATACGAACCAAAAATAGCAGTTTATTGGGCCCACTCACATCCCACCCACACAGGCATACCAACAGTTTCAGTATTCCTTCATGATGCCTAGAAAAACTGTCTTTTCCCTTAGGTAAATGGCTCAAGATATTTGTACAACTGCTGAAGTAAGAGCATCCACCTCTGTATCTTTACATACTTTGAGGCAATGTGATAAGCTCTTTTAGCTCAGTAGTCTATTCATTCAAAGTCATCTAACCAAATACCTTCTCCCACAGCTAAGAAAGAATCTCAGAAAGAATTTTTTTTTTTTTTTTTTTTTTTTGAGACAGAGTTTCACTCTTGTTGTCCAGGCTGGAGTGCAATGGCGCCGTTGGCTCACTGCAACCTCCACCTCCCGGATTCAAGTGATTCTCCTGCCTCAGCCTCCCCAAGTAGCTGGGATTACAGGCATGTGCCACCACGCCCCACTAATTCTGTAGAGACGGAGTTTCTTCATGTTGGTCAGGCTGGTCTTGAACTCCTGGCCGCAGGTGATCTGATCCGCCCACCTTGGCCTCCCAAAGTGCTGGGATTACAGAAGTGAGCCACCACCCCCAGCAAATTTTAAAATTTAATAAAAGCACTGATCTAGTCAGAACATGTGAGCAGGAAAAAAAAAATACCCAAATATATCATGCTGTGCTTTAACAGTTGGCCTTAAACCTATACATTAATTTCAACTTTCTATTTTATGAGAAAGAGCAATAGGGAAATAAAGTACAGCCAGCCCTCTGTGTCTATGGGTTTCACCAACTGTGGATCAAATACACTGGGGAAAAAATGGTGTCTGTACTGAACATGTGCAGACTTCTTTTGTCATTATTCCCTAAACACCACAGTGGAATAACTATTTACAGAGCATTTACACTGTATTAGGTTTTATAAGTAAGTTTTAACTCTTCCAGAGAAGAGTTAAAGTATACAGAAAGAAGTGCATAGGTTATATGCAAATACTATACCATTTTATATCAGGAACTGGAGCAGCTATAAATTTTGGTATCTGTGGAAGGACCTGGGACTAACCTTCCATGGCTACTGAGGGAGAAATGCATATATAATTAAGTTTAGAAAAAGGTGGTGAGTGGGGAACTTTGACATTCTCAATTTATAAAAAGATTCTCAGCCAGGTAGTGGTGGCTCACACCTGACAATCCTAGCATACTGTGGATTACCTGAGGTAAGGAGTTTCAGACCAGCCTAGCCAACACAGTGAAACCCTGTCTCTACTAAAAACACAAAAATTAGCCGAGTGTGGTGGTGCATGCCTGTAATTCCAGCTACCTGGGAGGCTGAGGCAGTAGAATCACTGGAACCGAGGAGCCAGAGACCGCAGTGAGCTGAGATCATGCCACTGCACTCCAGCCTGGGCAACAGAATAAGACTTTGTCTCAAAAAAATATATTTTTTAAGAAAAGAAGAAAAAATATAATTAAAGGAGAACATTAAAACTTTGAAAGCCTATGACATATACGTATCACAACACTGTAGCAAAAAGAAAGAAACCCTCTAAATTCCTTGAGGGGAGGGCATCTTCAAGGAATGTGCAGATTTCCCTTTCACTGTATCCTGAGTAGGAAATTTAAGCTATTAGTTGGTAAAAATTAATGCTTCTTATAAGCTATTTTTAAACCACCCTCCTTCCTCAATCATAACAATTATGAAACAAAATTAAAATGGCATGGGAAAGATCTGTCTATCCTTTTGGTCTTTACCATACAGTATAAGGTGACAGAACAAGATGGGAAACTGAGAGAGGTTATAATTAACTTTGTAGAAAAATGGCTCTAAAGTTTGAGTAGTCTGAATATTGCTATACAAATCAAGGCTCTCTGGTGGTTAAAATCACATTATGGAAATATTTAAACAAAGATCATGATTCGGGCCAGGCGCGGTGGCTCAGGCCTGTAATCCCAGCACTTTGGGAGGCCGAGGCGGGTGGATCATGAGGTCAAGAGATCGAGACCATCCTGGTCAACATGGTGAAACCCTGTCTCTACTAACAATACAAAAAACTAGCTAGGCATGGCACGTGCCTGTAATCCCAGTTACTCAGGAGGCTGAGGCAGGAGAATTGCCTGAACCCATGAGGCAGAGGTTGCGGTGAGCAGATATCGCGCCATTGCACTCCAGCCTGGGTAACAAGAGCAAAACTCCGTCTCAAAAAAAAAAAAAAAAAAAGATTATGATTCATAGCATTGTAATTTCAGGGCTGGGTATGGTGGCTCATGTCTGTAATCCCAGCACTTTGGGATGCTAAGGTGAGAGGATGGCTTGAGGCCAGGAGCTCTAGACCAGCCTGGTCATCATAGTGAGACTCTGTCGCTACAAAAAAAAATATTTTTTAAATTAGCCCAGCATGGTAGAGGGAGCCTGTAGTCCTAACTACTCAGGAGGCTGAGGCAGGAGGATTGCTTGAGCCCAGGAGTTCAAGACTGCAATGGATCATGCCACTATACCCCAGCCTCAGCAACAAAAATGAGACCGCATCTCCCCCCACCAAAAAAAAAAAGTATATATTTTAATACATGTTTTAAATATGTTATATGTTATATATGTGTGTGTATTACATACATAAATACGTATGTATATGTGTTAGCTATAATGGTGTATATATAAAACAATGCATACATTATATATGTTGTACATATTAAAAACATATTAAAATATGTATACATATATATATAAAATTTCAGGGTCACAAGAGATCATTTAGACCTATTCCCAATTTTATAAGAAAACAAAATACAAACCAAGGGTAAGGACTTGAGTGTTCTGCTATACCATGGTTCTTTAAATCTGGATCTAAAACATTAGAAACGTACAAATTAGAAATGTCTGATTATTTGGGAAATTAAGCTTAACCTCTTTTAAGATTATTGAACTGCAAAGAAAGAACAGTTAGACCAGTAGTTCTCAAAACTGAGATACTGACACAGCGGCATCATTAATAAGAAAGTTTATTAGAAATGCAAATTTACAGGTTCCATCCCACAATTACCAGGTCAGAAACTCTGAGGTGGAGCCAAACTGTTTTAACAAGGCCTCAGGAAATTACAATGCACACTTTTATGTCTGACAAGTTAAAAAGCATCCGAGACAAAAGGTGATACTAGAAAACTCACTACCAACAAGATTTGAGGGGAAAGCAAGGGAGAGCAAAGGGCAAAATGGCACAAACTGAAACCGAAAAAGAAATGAGACCTGACTAAATTTTTCTGGTTATGTCAGACAGATCTAGTTTGTTCCTTTTTCTTTTTTCCTTTGAGACAGAGTCTTGCTCTATCTCCCAGGCTGGAGTGCAGTGGTGCAATCTCAGCTAACTGCAACCTCTACCTCCTGGGTTGCGATTCTCCTGCATCAGCCTCCCAGGTAGCTGGGATTACAGGCACCCACACCACGCTCCGTATTCTGGTATTGTTAGTAGAGATGGGGTTACACCATGTTGGACAGGCTGGTTTGTTCCTCTTTCTACTGCTGTATATTCTGCTACTCTATGTCTAAACCACAACAGATCCTTTATTTCCTATTTTCCACTATCACAACAATTTGGTAAATACTCTTGTACACGAGTACTAGGTAAACACTTCAATTTAACTAGAAAGGACCAACTTCCCCCTTTTAAATTATAATTTTCTTGTTAACCCTATAGTTAATGTTTTATACAACAAAGGATTTGCTATTGATTGAGATGTTTCAACTATTAAAGTCATTTTCTTCCAAATAAATCACTATTTTATAAGTGTATTTTAAAAACTCTAGACAGTCCTCATTTCAATAATTATTTCCACCAAACAAACATTGTGGCTGGGTGCAGTGGTTCACTCCTGTAATCCCAGCACTTTGGGAGGTCAAGGTGGGTGGATCATAAGGTCAGGAGTTCAAGACCAGCCTGGCAAACATAGTGAAACCCCATCTCTACTAAAAATACAATTAGCTGGGCATGGTGGTAGGCGCCTATAACCCAGCTACTCAGGAGGCTGAGGCAGGAGAATCCCTTGAATCTGGGAGACCGATGTTGCAGTGAGCCTTAATGAGTCACTGCACTCTAGCCTGGGCTACAGTGCAAGACTCTTACTCAAACAAACAAACACTGTATGCAACTGTTGTTTGTTTTTGAGACAGGGTCTCACTCTGTTGCCCAAGCTGGAGTGCAGCCTCGTAATCTTGACTCACTGCAACCCCCATCTCCCAAGTTTAAGTAATTCCCCCACCTCAGCCTCCCAAGTAGCTGGAACTACAGGCACACCACCACGCCTGGCTAATTTTTGTACTCTTTGGTAGAGATAGGTTTCACCATGTTGGCCAGGCTGGTCTGGAACTCCTGATCTCAAGTGATCCACCCACCTTGGCCTCCCAAAGTGCTAGGATTATAGGCATGAGCCACCACGCCCCACGCCCAGCCTACAACACTTTTTCTAGGTAAAAAAGATTGTTCTCATGAAGCCCATCCCTTTTAATGATAAACTGTCATTTATTTAATCTAATTTGTTGTGTACTACAAAATTTAGGTTATAATTAACAGCTTATACTATCCCTACCACAACCCAGAAAGTACAGCTAAACAAGGCCCAGCCTGACCAACATGGCAAAACCCTGGCTCTACTAAAAATTCAAAAATTAGCCAGGCATGGTGGCACATGCCTGTAGTTCCAGCTACTCAGGAGACTGAGGCAGGACGATCACTTGAACCTGGGAGATGGAAACTGAATTGAGCTGATATTGCACCACTGTATTCCAGCCTGGGCAACAAAGCAAGACTCCATATGTCTTAAAAAAAAAAAAAAAAAAAAAAAAAGATGGCTGGGCATGGTGGCTCACGCCTGTAATCCCAGCACTTTGGGAGGCCGAGGTAGGCGGATCACCTGAGGTCGGGAGTTAAAGACCAGCCTGACCAACATGGAGAAACATCATCTCTAAAACAAACAAACAAAAAAGCTAAACAGGACAAGGCAGGTGCAGTGGTTCACGTTTGTAATCCCAGCACTTTGGGAGGCCAAGGCAGGAGGATTGCTTCAGGCCAGGAGGTCAACACCAACCTAGGCAAAAGAGCAAGACTCCATCTCTACAAAACAGAAAAATTTAGCCAGGCATGGTGGCCCACATCTCTAATTCTAGCTACTTAGGAGGCTGAGGCTGGGGGATCACTTGTGCCCAGGAATTGGAGGCTACAGTGAGCTGATAGTGCCACTGTATTTCAGCCTAGGCGACAGACTCTATCTCTCAAAAAATTTTTATAAAAACTAAACAAGGCACTGTATTATATTTATGCTGATGAAGTGCTGGGATTACAGGCATTAGCCACTGTACTCTGCCACAGTTATGGGTTTAACACCCCCACCCAAAACAAAAAAATACAACACAAACATATCAACACCAAACATTTGCAATTAAAAAGGTTAGACTTAACTGTCTTAGGATGAAAAAAAAAAAAATCTTAACTCTTTATTCTCATGGACCTCCTTTTTCTAGGAAGCTATTTTATTGACTGTACTATATAAATCTAGTATCATATATGGTACCACATAGTTATTTCTTTTTGTTGCTGTTGTTTAGACAGAGTCTCACTCTGTCACCAGGCTGGAGTGCAGTGGCACCATCTTGGCTAACTGAAATCTCTGCCTCCCAGGATCAAGTGATTCCCCTGTCTCAGCCTCCCTATATTTCATTTTTAATTTATCCACAACTACCAAAAGTTAACCTCTGCATAAACTCATCTCTATCCCTTTAACATTTAATTATGACTCCTTAAATGAGAGATGAAGTATATCATATTCTTCACCGCATTCTGTAGAGACTGGAACATAAGAGGCACTCAAATGTCTGAGTGGGTTAATACTTAGTAGGGTGCCAAGCAGAATTAGTGCTCAAATACTTACAAATTGGAAGATTTAAAAAAGGCATACAAAAAAAATTCCAAAAGAAAGTCTAGTCCATTTAGTCCAATCAATAGTGTCAGGAAATAGAAAGTCTAAAGGCCAGGCACAGGGGCTCATGCCTATTATCCCAGCACTCTGGGAAGCTGAGGCTGGAGGACTTTTTGAGCTCAGGAGTTCGAGACCAAGCTGGTCAACATAGTGAGACCCCGTATCTACAAAAAAATTAATAATAATTTGCCCTCCCCTTTCCCCACCCCTCCATTTCTTGCCATGGCCCCTGCACTGCTCCTGGTCCCTGCTGCCCTCGCCTCTTTCATCCTAGCCTTTGGCACTGGAGTGGAGTTTACGCACTTTACCTCCCTTCAGTCACTTCTTGGAGGGATCCCAGAGTCTGGTGGTCCCAATGCCTGACAGGGATGGCTGGCTGCCCTGCAGGACCGCAGCATCCTTGCCCCCCTGGCATGGGATCTGGGGCTCCTGCTTCTATTTGTTGGGCAGCACAGCCTCATAGCAGCTGAGAGAGTGAAACCATGGCCATCCCGGTACTTTGGGGTCCTTCAGAGGTCACTGTATGTGGCCTGCACTGCCCTGGCCTTGCAGCTGGTGATGCGGTACTGGGAGCCTGTACCCAGAGGCCCCGTGTTGTGGGAGGCTCGAGCTGAGCCATGGGCCACCTGGGTGCCCCTCCTCTGCTTTGTGCTCCATATCATCTCCTGGCTCCTCATCTTCAGCATCCTTCTCGTCTTTGACTACACTGAGCTCATGGGCCTCAAACAGGTGTACTACCATGTGCTGGGGCTGGGCGAGCCTCTGGCCCTGAAGTCTCCCCGGGCTCTCAGTCTCTTCTCCCACCTGCGCCACCCAGTGTGTGTGGAGCTGCTGACAGTGCTGTGGGTGGTGCCTACGCTTGGCACAGACCATCTCCTCCTTACCCTCTACCTGGGCCTGGCTCATAGGCTTGATCAGCAAGACCTCTGCTACCTCCGGGCCCAGCTGCAAAGAAAACTCCACCTGCTCTCTCGACCCCAGGATGGGGAGGCAGAGTGAGAAGCTCACTCTGGTTACAAGCCCTGTTCTTCCCCTCCCCCTGAATTCTTTTTGTTGTCGAGATGGAGTCTTGCTCTGTTGCCCAGGCTAGAGTTCAATGGCACAATCTCGACTCACTGTAAACTCCGCCTCCCAGGTTCAAGTGATTCTCCTGCCTCAGGCTCCTGAGCAGCCAGTATTACAGGCTATCGCCACCACACACAGCTAATTTTTGTATTTTTAGTAGAGACAGGGTTTCATCATGTTGGCCAGGCTGGTCTTGAACTGCTGACCTTGTGATCCGCCTGCCTTAGTCTCGCAAAGTGCTGGAATTACAGGCGTGAGCCACCACGCCCAGTCCCTCTCCCCCTGAATTCTAAATCTTTAACATCCAGGCCCCAGCTGCTTCAGGCCAGAGGCTCAAATTCATGGACTGAAGGAGCTGCCTGCCACTTCCACTACTTGCTACTTTATTCTCTGGGTCCAGCTCCATACTCTAAATTCTGAGTTTCAACCACTGAACTCCAAGAGTCCACATAGTGGACTTCCAGCAAGGAAGAGCAGGGTAGGGAATTCATCTGTCTCCTCACTGTTTAGGGCATGGCACGCTCCCCTTCAACAGTCTACTAGAAGGAAAGGATCTGCCCTGACCATTCCGCTGGCTGGCACCATTGCTTCCCTCTGTGCCTCTGGGATCCCCCCTTCGCCACCTCTGGCTTTCATGCCAAGAAGCTGGACCAGGGTCTGCAAGTTCAAAGGCCCCACACCTTGCCTCAGCACCTCCTTAGGCCCTGCCTCTGGGCTCAGCCCTGAACCTAGTCAAGAGGATTCTCCCGCTCTTAACTTGGGGCTTCCTGTTCTGGATGCTCTGCAGGAAAATAAAAGCCTGATTTTCCAAAAATAAAAATTAATAATAATTTAAAAAATAGCTGGGGATGTGGTAGCACATTTCTGTAGTCCTAGCTACTCAGGGGGCTGAGGCAGTGAGATTACTTAAGCCCAGAAATTTGAGGCTGCAGCGAGCTATAATCTCACCACTGTACTCCAACCAGCTTGGGGGATGAGGTAAAATTCTGTCTCAAAAAAAAAAGGTTAGTTTATAGTGACATACAGAATATATTACTATGTAATTACTGAACCTGAATTAAAAAGATGTTTTAGGCTGGGTGCAGTGGCTCATGCCTATAATCCCCGCACTTTGGGAGGCTGAGGAGGGTGGATCACCTGAGGTCAGGAGTTTGAGACTAGCCTGACCAACATGGTGAAACCCTGTCTGTACTAAAAATACAAAAATTAGCTGGATGTGATGGTGCATACCTGTAATCCCAGATACTATGGAGGCTGAGGCAAGAGAATCACTGAAACCCAGGAGGCAAAGGATGCAGTGAGCCAAGATGATAGATGATGCCATTGCACTCCAGACAGGGCAACAAGAGTAAAACTCCATCTCAAGGAAAAAAAAAAAGGCCTGGCATTGTGGCTCATGCCTATAATCCCAGCATTTTGGGAGGCTGAGGTTGGCGGATCACCTGAGGTCGGGAGTTCGAGATGAGCCTGACCAACATGGAAAAACACTATCTCTGCAAAATTAGTCTAGCGTGGTGGCGCATAATTCCAGCTACTCAGGAGGCTGAGGCAGGAGAATTGCTTGAACCTGGGAAGCAGAGGTTGTGGTGAGCCGAGATTGCACCACTGCACTCCAGCCTGGGCAATAAGAGCAAAACTCCGTCTCAAAAAAAACAAAAAAAAGGTGTTTTGGGGCAAACATGGATAACATGAGACAACAAGGAGTTTCTTTGAGTATTTTACCAACCATTCAGATTGAAATGTGGTATGAAGAGAATATAGTTACGTTAAACATAATAAAAGGCATACATTTTAAGAAATCTGTAGCTGTAGGAACATCAAAGTGTACTTACACAAACCTAGACAGTATAATCTACCACACCTAGGCCACACAGTATACAGCCTTATTGCTCCTAGGCTACAAACCTGTATAGCATGTCAGTGTACTGAATACTGTAGGTGACTATAACACAGTGGCATCTGTGTATCTTAAACATATCTAAACAGAAAAGGTACAGTAAAAACATGGGGAAAAAAAGATTAAAAAATGGCATACCTCTATAGGGCATGAGCAGAGTCTGCAAGACTGGACATTGCTCTAGATGAGTCAGTGATGAGTGAATATGAAGGCCTGAACATTACTGATTATTGCATACTACTACAGACTTTATAAACACTGTACCCTCAGGCTACACTAAATTTATCTTTTTAATGGAATTTTTAAAAATTTACAGAATTGTCTCTAAAACAAAATAAAATAAAATGGAATTACGCTACATGACAACAGCTACAACGTCACTAGGCAACAGGAATTGTTTGGCTCCATTATCTTATGGAACCACTGTCATCATATGGTCCATCATTGACCAAAACGTCTTCCATGTGGCACATGACCATATTCTCTGTTCATTACTGAATATCAACAACCTTTCCTATTTTACCTCTAACTATCCTTTATTCATTTCACAATTTCACTTCTTTCTTTCCTTTTCTTTTTTCTTTTTTAAAGACGGGGTTTCACCATATTGGTCAGGCTGGTCTCGAACTCCTGACCTCAGGCAATCCGCCCACCTCAGCCTCCCAAAGTGCTGGGATTACAGGCGTGAGACACCATGACTGGCTCCTTTTTTTTTTTTTTTTTAAATCGAGACAGAGTCTTGCTCCATCACCCAGGCTGAGTTTTACTCTGTCACCCAGGCTGGAGTGCAGTGGAGCAATCTCGGCTCACTGCAACCTCTGCCTCCCCAATTCAAACAATTCTCTGGTCTCAGCCTCACAAGTAGCTGGGACTACAGGCCTCTATCATCACACCCAGTTAATTTTTGTATTTTTGGTAGAGACGGGGTTTAACCTTGTTGATCAGGCTAGTCTCGAATTCTTGACCTCAGGTGATCTACCTCCCTCAGCCTCTCAAAGTGCTGGGATTAAAGGCATGAACCACCGTGCCTGGCCAACTTCTTTAAATTGACAAAATTCCTGAATAGAACAAAAGATTGAGCAAGAGGAAAAAAAAGAAAAAAATAAATTGACAAAATTGTATATATTCGTCAAGCACAACATGTTGTTCTGAAATATGAATACACTGCGGAATGGCTGAATTGAGCTAATTAACATTATTACCTCTACATGCTTATTTACCGCATATACTTAATTTTTTTATAGTAAACACATTTTAAAAATCTACTCTCAGCAATTTTTGAGAATACACTGTTATTAACCACAGTCACCATGTTGTACAGTAAACCTCTTGAACTTATCCCTCCACCTAACTGAAATTTTATATCCTTTTGACCAACATATCCCCAAACCCCACCCATGGGAACCATAATTCTACTCTTTACTTTTAAAGAGCTCAACATTTTTTGATTCCACATAAAAGTGAGATCATGAGGTACATACTTGTCTTTCTGTGCCTGGTGTATTTAACATACTGTTGTCTAGGTTCATCTATGTTGTCACATATGACAGGATTTCCTTCTTTTTTAAGGCTGAAGAGTACAGGTTGAGCATCCCTAATATGAAAAATTGACACACCTGTAATCCCAACACTTTGGGAGGCCGAGATGGGGAAATCACCTGAGGCCAGGAATTTGAGACCATCCTGGCCAACATGGTGAAACCCTGTCTCTACTAAAAGTACAAAACATAGCCAGGCGTGGCGACAAGAGCCTGTAATCCCAGCTACTCGGGAGGCTGAGGCAGGAGAATCACTTGAACCTGGGAGGTGAAGGCTGCAGTGAGCAAAGATTGCGCCACTACACTCCAGCCTGGGTGACAGAGCGAGATCCCGTCTCAAAAAAGAAAAAAAAAAAAAGAAAACCTGAAATCCAAAACCCTCCAAAATCTGAAACTTTTCTGAGTGCTACATAATGCCACAAGTAGAAAGTTCCACACCTGGTTTCATGTGATAGGCAGCAGTTAAAACTGTCAAATTTTATTTCATGAACAAAATTATTTAAAATATTATGTAAAGCCCAGTCACAGTGGCCCACGCCTGTAATCTCAGCACTTTGGGAGGCCAAGGCAGGAGGATCACTTGAGGTCAGGAGTTCAAGACCAGCCTGGCCAAGACGGTGAAACCCCGTCTCCTAAAAATACAAAATTAGCTGGACATTGCTTAGAATCTGGGAAGCAGAGGCTATAGTGAGCTGAGATCACACCACAATACTCCAGCCTGGGCAACAGAGCAAAACTCCACACCAGAAAAAAAAATTGGGCCGGGCGCAGTGGCTCACACCTGTAATCCCAGCACTTTGGAAGGCCAAGGCGGGTGGATCACGAGGTCAAGATACCGAGACCATCCTGGTCAACATGGTGAAACCCCGTCTCTACTAAAGATACAAAAAATTAGCTGGGCATGGTGGCGCGTGCCTGTAATCCCAGCTACTCGGGAGGCTGAGGCAGGAGAATTGCCTGAACCCAGGAGGCGGAGGTTGCGGTGAGCCGAGATCGCGCCATTGCATTCCAGCCTGGGTAACAAAAGCAAAACTCCGCCTCAAAAAAAAAAAAAATTGTGTAAAGCCTATAATCTCAGCACTTTGGAGGCCAAGCAGGGCAATGATTTGAGTCCAGGAGTTCAACACCAGCCTAGAAAACATAGTGAGGCCCATCTACAAAATTAGCTGGGCAGCTGTGCCTGTACACCTGTATACCACAGTGTCTGCAGTCCTTGGGAGGCTAAGGCAGGAGGATGGCTTCAGCACTAAAGTTTAGGACTGCAGTGAGCCATGATCACACCACTGCATTCTAGCCTGGGCACCAAAGTGAGACTCTATGTATTAAAAAAAAAAAAAAGGCCGGGCACAGTGGCTCAAGCCTGTAATCCCAGCACTTTGGGAGGCCGAGGTGGGTGGATCACAAGGTCAAGAGATTGAGACCATCCTGGTCAACACAGTGAAACCCCGTCTCTACTAAAAATACAAAAAATTAGCTGGGCATGGTGGCGCGTGCCTGTAATCCCAGTTACTCAGGGGGCTGAGGCAGGAGAACTGCCTGAAC